AATGAAAACAAAACACATACATTAAATGAACTAAAAGTAAATTTTTTAGAGTTTATAAACCTCCTGAAACAAAATTGCCAGAGAACTTCTGCCTGTGGAAGAGATCTGTGGAAATTTTCAATACCTATCCATTTTTTATTTATTTATTTATTATTATTATTATATCTGAGAGTGTATTAAGCAGTTATTTTAAGCCGTAAATTCTATAAATATCATGCACAGAGGTTTCCATAGCACTTTTGTTCCTTCTTGAAAGATGCGTATAGTCCACTGAGTTTTTGCCTTTTAGTTGTTTGAATTTTTTTCTCTTTTTCTTTACCTTCCTTCTTCACCCTTTACCAATTTTATTACGTGCCAGCTTAAATGACTCTGAAATAATTTCCTCCTTCAAAGTAGTTCAAAGAGCTAGTTGCATTGCCTTGAGACCAAAATGTATTTCTACCCCAAAAATACTGCCTGAAAACTTTTCTTAAGGGGAGAGACCTGCATTATTTTTAGTCCTTCCTGTTAAATTTTATCATTATTTATTTAAAATTTATTTCCTGGAGTATCCTCTTATATTGTTGTTGTATTTCTGGTTGTGGCACTGTAAAAGAGGTAGCTCATTAACAGGGAATTGAAGCGTTTGAAAAACAATACATGCACTGCAACTCACAAGTATGGTAGAAAGTTGAGAATGTTTAAAATTAATCATCACTTTCTCACTTCATATCCTTCCGCCGTTTTATGTATTAAAGTTTGATCTTTGATTGAAAGTAAAGAGGTCAATCAAAGAAGCAAAGCAATCATTGCCAACAAAAGAATGAAATTTCGGTCCTGTTGACATGTTTTCTTAAACACTTATAATCCAATCTTTCAGGAGTAGATAAACAGGGAAAAAAAAATCCCAGGATTTTTTCTTTGCAAATATGAATTAATTATTTCAGTTTAGCTATTTCAGATAGGCACATACACAATCTAGATCATAGCTTTTGGTGTCAAAATGAGAAGATAAACCCAACAAGGGGCCGATTATTGAAACTATGTCAGCATAACAAGACAAGACATTGCCTAATCTTTACCATGCAATAGTACCTGATAGCAATGCATCATATCGATGTCCTACAGGGTTGCTTTAAACTCACAATAATCGGCCTGCAGGTTTTACATCCAGCCCTTCTGCATATCCTTTTTTACAAATTTAAAAATGGCACCTTATTTAACCAGCACGTAGTTGTGAGTGGCAGGATGTGTTCAAAATTCTTCCCCCCTCCTCTTGAATCGTGTTGAGTAGTAATGAGTAACTATTCTATTTATCAAAAAAAGTTCAACCATGGGGAGTAGATTGGGGGAAAAAAACTTTCTTCTCTTTCATGTTTGCAAGATCCTATTATGATATTTTGTGTCAGGGACTTTATCTCATAACTTTTTTCCAGTCATTTTTTTCTTGTCCTAAAGTTTTAGGCAGAAATTTTGTGTTGAAAGTTTCTTACACCAAGGAAGAAGATATGTCGTCCAGGAAATTCTCTCTAGATCTACTTTATTCTTTCTTTCTGGAAACACTTCCCTTCATTTTTTTCTTTTTTTCCTTTTAAATGAGAAAAGTATGCAATCAAATCTAAATCTTGTATAATCTTTATTTCTCAATTGCTGTTCAGATAATTATACTGAATGTGTAGATAAGTACTTAGTTTATGTATAGAGCAAAAGATGGAATTCAGTGTACAAATGTATCATACAACACTGTTGTGAATTAATAATGTGCACCCTCGTTTTTTCTTAATTATCTGTGTGCATGTATTTCTATGATCCAATTTTTTTAAAAGTTCTTTGTTATATTATTTGTTTTATTAATTACAAAATGATTACAAAAAGGAAAAAAATTACATACTTATTAATAAAATAAAATATTAGAAAAAAATTGATTGTATCAAATATTTCTTCTCCTCGAATTCCAAGCAAATACATGAAAACCAGATGGAAAATATGATGTTCCCGTTGATTCTACAGTTCAATAACGGCTGGGAATCTTCTTAAAGTACTAAAGAACCACTGAAATCACATCATTTGTCATTAAAGTATAAAAGTTTTTAGAGAGAATTTGATTCATAGGTATAGGTAACAAAATTCAATTTCGTTCTCAGTAGTCTACAACAAATGGAATTCTTAAGTAAATGATAAATGTATGAAAGCTTTCCTTTCATTCAGAATGAAGTTTCCTTCGTCAAAGAACAATTTTTTCACCAAAAGAATTTTGTCTTCAGTCATGGAGAATCCGTGTTCAAAGCGTGGGCGTCCTGCGAGGCGTGGGCATGTTTTTCGCAACCCCTCCTTGCGGCGCATCGAACGAAAATGGCGAAATGCGACTGGCACGCACCAGCACGTGCGTTTACCGTATTCGTTTCGACACAGCATTTACAATGTTAATGAAAGAGATTCTTATAAATTTAATATATTGAGATATATTAATACTGAAGCTTAAAATTGAAGAGATGATTTAAGAACGGAAATTTTGAAACACCGCAATGGAGATACGTGGTTTCGCACTTCAGTCGGTGCGATATACAGACATCCATCAAGTTTAAAAAAATGCATCAAGTCCCCGTCACCGCCGACCAACGCGTTTGTCGATCGAATCAACTACAGGCATTATGCGTAGGAGGTCAAAACGCCTTCAATTTTTTGAACGCAATACGGACATCCGTCGAGGTTGTATAGTTGTATCAAGGCGCCGTAGCAAACGCGTCCCATTTTTTATCGTTACAGACGAATATAAGTTGAGAGAGGCCAGTCATAATGCCTTCAATTTTATACGTACGTAGTATGCTTGACGCCCTGTTAGTTATCGTGTATAGCATTCTGTTTGGCATCATTAATGGCGTTAATCTTGCACAAAAATTTGCGAATTTCAGAATTTTTGCCATCTACGACGTGTGAACTATTCAATCAAAACAAAAAAAGTCGTTTTGGGAAAAACCTCAACGTTACGGCAATCATTTAGAGCTTATTACATCGTTGCCATGTCTCTCCTGACTGTTGCTCGGGACAATGATTCTAGCGCGTGAAAAAGTTATTGATGGAGCAAAAAATGAATTGACATATTTTTTTTCTCCAATTCAAAAGCATTACCTATCATCTCCGATAAAGTTTTCTTAAATAATCACTTTAGTTATGCTGCAACATCGATTTAAAGTCAAGAACCAGGCACAGGGGACACGCAAATTCGGGACAAATGTAGGCAATTTGCACATTCAAAGTTCTCCTAAATTTTTATTTCAGTCCAAATAAAGTGGGAAACAGCATGTAATAGTCAACGATAGTGTGGAAAATGAGAAAAAAATTTGATCTGCCCATGTTTCTTAGATTATCACGATTAAAACAGCTGGGGACACCAAATCAGACGCTTATTTGAACTCGCCCATCTACACTTCAGCGAAGTTTCTTTGACTTACAAAGTGAAGTAATGAGTAAAAACTTACTTCTGTGACATTCCTTAAATGAAGCTTAAACATAAGTATGTCGAAAAAAAATTAAAACAAAGGTTTGGCCCTTAGCTTGTCCAAGAAAATTCTTTGCTCTTCATTAATTTTACTCTTCACAAATTGTAAGGTTGACATCGATAATTATGAGGATGTACCTAGCAATAAAAATTGCTGGTAATCTTCCCAACTTGGTACTAATATTACTGTATTTAACACATCTCCTAAATACAGTGAAAACCCCAAAACATGTAAGAAAAATTGGCAAAAGAAGGCAAAAATATTTGGGATTTAATAAGTATGTTTAATCTTTCATTTTGTTTTAAATATTCTCTATTTTCCCATCATTCCACATCTAAGTAGAATGACTGAGAATAAAAGGAGACTTCGATGGAAAGTATGTGCAATGTACATAGACCTGTGGTCATTTAGCCTGCTAAAATTTTAAACCTTTAATTTCATGAACGTACCATTTTAAATTAGCGGTAGGTACGACTTCTTGGACCTTATTGATGAAATAAAAACTATTTGAATAATTTACTTCTCCTCTGGTAAATTATTTTTTTGTGAAGCTTCGTGTCTTGCTCCTTAAAACTTTTTTGCTACCCCGATCACTTCGCACTCCAAATTTGATGAATGGATAGTGCATAGCTTCTGAAATTTGGTTTCTTTATGATTTTTATCCTCAGAGCAGAAATAAATTCATGGCCAAAGTGCTCTCAATCTCCGTTTGTGATGTTGGAGACTTCTTGTCAGACTTCATTTTTTCTATGGGGAACTACTAGGTCAACTTAATTTCTTGAAAACTTTGTGGATGTTTCTCTTCTGTTCATAAAATATTCTGTTTACATTTCAATCCACAGAGTTGGCTTCTTTCTCTTCCAAAAATAAAATCAGAACGGAAATTTTGAAACACTGGGGTGGAGATACATGATTGTGCATGAAAGTCATCAATATTTCGACATACTTTTGCTAAAAGGAGCGATAAGCAAAGGGTTTGAGTGCAACATACTTCCTTTCAGCAAAAATACGTCGTCCATTTGTGATTGATTCTTCACTCAACATGCACATGCAGCATTGCAGATAAACATTTTTTTGATTGGTTTCATCTTGGGTGCACATTAAACATTCAAAAATAAATATTTTGGTTTTGATTAATGGAGTACGTTGGTATATTATGGAGACATTTAAAGTGATATACATTGTTTTCTACCATTATTGATGGTGATTAGAGTATTTTTTTCTGTGCACATGATCACTGCTCTACTTTTTTCATTTTTCCAAACCATTTTTCAAATTTTTTTTCTGTTTTCTTGTTTTTAAAACTTAGAAAAAAGCAAAGACTCGCACATAATGGCTCCTAAATTTTGTATTGGATAGATGAGGTGGATTATAAAATCTCCTACTGTGGACCATGGGAGCCAAAGGGCGATTCACAAAGTGCGAAAATTGAGGGTATCTTTTAGGAATTTTTTAACTGTTAAATATTCATCAAGATAAGATGAAATTTGGGCAAATGGAACTCAAATTAACTATTCACAGTACCTGTTTGCATTCTTCTTTATTACTTTCACTTAATCACAAGTTTTAATTACACATAGAGACTTCCATTAAAATCTGAGAGGACATTAAGTCAAGAAAAAAATAGAAAGGAGAAATAATGAAAATAAAACAAAGAGAAAACTTGCCAAGCAAGAGGAAGATTATTTACAAAGAACAGAAATTTGAAATGATAACAACCTATGTTACGAAATAATTAAAAACAATATATACAATAAATAAGAAACTAAAATACAAAATCATTTTTCTCTTTTCACTCTTTTCATACAAAAGCAAGTTTTAACTTCTGAAAACTAATGATTGAGAAAATGAGCACGGGAATTGAGGATTGTTCCGAAGAAGTAGTTCACTAAGACACTCAGCTGGCTCAGTTTTCAAATTTTTCCCTACAATACTTTGATTTCGGTGGCAGTTCAGAATCATACCAATGGGCCACTAGACAATGTACCAAGTCAAGCATTCTGCAACATGTTACATAGCCAAAATTTTACGTAGAATACAATTCGAGCAACGAAAATTACTGATATTGACTCCTAAACAAGATATTTGATGTTTTTTGATACAGTAATTTAAACAGCTTGCTAATGAAAACACAATGGTCTACGTGAGTCTAAAGCGCACACTAAATGTTACCATGATAGTCTCTGCAATATGAAAGTCTGGCAACCTCAATCTTGACAATTTGGCTCAGTTATAGTGAGTTGTTTATAGTTTAAACAACACAAGTTGGGAAATGAAAATTGCTCGATTGAGAGGCCAGCCAAAACCGTGGTAGTATAGGATTGGGCTCACGAAGAGTATTGCATTTCTTGTGACCGGGCAATTCAAATTTCCCATAAACAATGTAAAATGAAAACGTGAATACCTTACTTAGGAGTTGATTTCAGTAATTTTTGATGCAAAAATCGTGTTCTACATGAAATTTTGATAATGGAACATGTATCAGAATGCTTATAACTTTGTACCTTGTCTACTGGTCCATTGACTAGTTTATCATAACTGAGAAACTAATTGAAAAATTGAATAAAATTATAATAACCAACAAGAATTCTGAACAGTCTAGTTGTAACATGACATCTAGAGTCTTAAAAAAAAAGCAAGATACGACTGTTGTTAGCTGGAAGATTAAAAATTGATTAAGCATGTTACTTTACAAACATAGTAACCTGAGGGTATTTGGATATGCTACTGCTTACTAATGTAGCCCTGAAAGAATTTGAGCACATTTTAATTGATCTTAAAGACATTTTCTTACAGAATGTATTGAACACTTAAAGAGTAAGATTCACTTTATTGTCCAGTTCTATTGCCCATCAGACATCAAAAAATGCAACAACTCATTGATGCAGAATCAGCGCTGTGCATTAAAATTCCAAATACTGCTACCATTTTGAGAGAATAAGCAGGGAGGAATTCATACATTATTTTTGTCTTACAAAACATTATAGGGTTCCTCGAGTAAGCTGAGAAGCAGTCAATTTTAACGAACAGTGTTATTTTGGTTCTCCTTACGCTTCCTTTCCCCCTCTCTTTCAAGATAAATATGTTTACCCTTTCCTTCTCTTTCTTACAGAATGACCCATTAGACAGAATAATATTTGACTTCCTTTGAAAACATCTGATGGCAATTAAAAGAGGGAAAGTAACGGTTGTCGGTGAATGATTAAATGAAGCCATTTATGATTCAAAATTCAGGGTAAACATTAGAGAAAATGAAGATGAAAAATTACTCGAGGAAAAAAACGCAATGAAATGAACTTTACATAATATATTCTCCGCCTTTTGAGGTTTCAAGTTGAAATCATGATTTGACACCTTTGATGTACAAAAAACTTAGGGGAAATCATGAAAAATTAGAATTTCAAAAAAATATTTTCCTTTTAACACTCATCAAAGATAGAAAGATCAAGTGTTTCCACAAAGAACAGATCTCTGAAATTATCATTCATAAAAAAATTATCAAATAGTTCTATCGCCTTTTCATCGCCCTTTTTTTCTCCTCTTCCTCGCTGACTAACCTAATAGATTATTTCAGAAGCTTACGGATCTACACTAATGAGTTTCACCGAAACAAAAAAAAATTGAAAAAAATTATGTACCGGCAACTATTAAGGTACGGTTCGTTTGATTAAATGAGTTGATTATGATGTAGATGAGATGTGAGAGAAATAAAGGGACTTAGAATGGCAAATGTGACTTGATTCATTGTGATTGGGGGAAAAATGATGAGGAAGTTTTACTCGACTGTACAAATAAAGAAAAAAAATGATAAGTTTGAACAGTCTCAAAGCAGATTTTAGCAACTGAGGATGGTGCAAAATTTGGACGGATACTTCCATGATCTGTAGTATTTACTTGCGTTTTGAAAGCATGACTAAGCTACAAAAGGAGACAATAGTTTTATTGAGAAAACTAATTCCCAACGAAGTAGTGACACTTTTTCCGGTGTAATAATTACAATTTCATGCAATTTCAATGTAAATATATGTCATTTTAATGGACAGGTCGGATTTAAGACTATTAGCAACATTTTCTTTTCTTTTTCCATGCTAGAGAAAATGCACCTAGTTGCTAAAATTTACTTGAATACTTTGACTCTTGATTCTAAATACAGACTCAAATGATTCCTTCTACAGAAAAAAAAATAAAAACACTGCAGAACTCAACTTTTCTTCAACTTAAATTTTAAACTCCAAGAAAATAAAAAAAGAGAGAAAAAAAAGGATTGAAGAGGGGCATAATTGTTTGGAAAGAAGAAAACAGAGGTTACGTTTCTCCGTTACCGCTGTCATCACCATCTCCAGCAAAATCATCACCTGATAGGTCTTCATCATCGTCATCATCATCAAGATCATAGTCATCAACATAGAAATCTGTCATGTCTAAAGGTGCCTCTGGTTGTTTCACTTTTGTTTTTACACAGTAGTCCTCCAGTGTCATTGGGATGGTAACACCATCTTTTTCCGCTTCTAAACGTCCTCCAGATACTTGTTTCCTGATGAAAAAAAGTAGAAAAAACCTGAATTTAATGTCATTGCAGGATAACTAATAATGTAACAAAAAATTCTTGAGAGGTTCAACTGATTACATACGACTGTCCTTGAGAAAAGGAACTTTGGTGCAGGGAGACTAATTATTTTCCTAGATACAAACCTAAATCTCGGTACTTCCTCTAAGCTGCTTCTCATTGTTAACACTTTGAACGACACTCGGCGGGGAGGGAACACTGCTCGATCAAGACAAACGCCAGGCCAAATCCGATGTAGTATGCGATATGATTAACACAGACTGGTTTTTTTGGGCGCAGAAAATTCAACTTTTCTGTGATCAGTGTACAATAAAAACATTGACATCTTGGTTGGGAGATAATATCGAGTCGAACGTTCAGCAGAGATTCCTTCCTGAGCTTTGGAGGTGGGGTTGACAAAAATCCTGCCCAATTTCCATCGCAAACTGTCTGGTGCGCAATCGGGAGCATCAATGTTTCCTTTCTGCAGACTCACTGCACTCCCCACGCGCCAAAGGATTTCTGTCAACCCTCCCCTTTCGGGCCAAGCAGGAATCTTTTAAACTCAAACCAACTTAAACACCCCGTTTTTTAAAAGGAAAATCTGCATTTCTATTCTATTATCTATATGATTAGGAATAAAGACCATAAGGAATACAAAAAATACAAATAAAGGGCCGTCCATAAATTACGTAAGGCTCTTAAGGGGAGGGGGGGGGTCTCTAACAGCCTATCGGTGCCTTACAAGGGGGGAGGAGAGGGCACGGCTGAGCTTTACGTCAGGTTTTTAGCCTATATTTCAAGAAAATGCAAAAATCCATTTTTCGTGAGGTTGATAATAAAATTCAAGATGAAATAGAGGAAATCAGGAAACCACCTATTGCTGACCGATCGAACCATGCCCTATAATTTTTCTTTATTCCCACTTCTCCATTCCGTGGAATGATGAGTAGTGATTTCATCCTTATGTCAACTTTATACTTTTAACTATTTATTCCAAAGGCCAAAAAAATCTTCCATTTTGGTCCGTATTTTTGTTTATTAAACTAATTATTATATCATTAATATTTCCTATGAACTTACTCCAGAAATTTAGTTTCACTAATAAAAATTTTGGCTTAAAAATTTCATTGTTTTCTAACGGAAAACGTAATGTTTCGATCTGCGATACTTGAACAAAAAAAAAAGGGAGGGGGGGTCAGTCGAGCCTTATGTAATTTTTAGAGGGGGGGGGTAAGGGATGCCTTACGGTGCTGCACAAGGAGGTGTATGGGAGTCTAAAAATGGGGAAAAGGTCTTACGTAATTTATACTAAAGGATGTCAACTGTACACTATGTTACATTAATTTCTGTCTGGAGTCTGCTTTTTCCTCTAAGAAAAAACAAGTTTATCAGACGGTCCCTGTATACCCTAATACAGGGACCCTGGACCTTGGATCCAGAAGTTTCTCCGAAGCAAGAGGGGCCCTTTTCAATTACGTGCATCAAAATGCAACCCTCTCTCTTATTTTTTGGAAAAAATAATCCTTCCATGCCCTACGCGGCATTTATAAATATGTTAAAGGAGTTAAAAAATATCCTGCTGGTGGACGCGAACCATAGATCTCACGTCTGCGAGGCGAGCGCTTTTCCGCTCAGCAATGCAACTCACTGCAGGTCTACGGCAATTTTGCCAGTGCATAAGCCAAATAAAGTTCTTTCTTTCTCCACTAGAGCTGAGAGTACAGACGCATCGGTGACACGCTCTTGCTTACTGATGATCTGCGGCAGGATTTTTGTCAACCCTAACCTTCCAAGCCAAGCAGGAATCTCTGCTAAACTCAAACGCCGATAATATCAGTAATTTTTGAAGCGCGAATCTTGTGCTGCATGAAATTTTACAAAGGCAATATGAATCCAAATGTTTAAAGTTGCGCCTTGTCAAGGTGTTCAACAGCCTTCCTCAGCTGTGGTATTGTTACTCACTTCTAGGAATTATGCATGTTTGTCTTTATTTACAACAAATTCAAAATTCCCTTACTTTTCTAAAAAAAAAAAAAAAAAAAAAAAGAAAAAAAATCCCTGATTAATTTTAGCAAAATCCTCTGACCTTTTTTTTAAATTACTTAATTACTTTTGGAAAGGTAAACCCTGCGCTGCTACATTCACACAAGATAAGAGATGTATCGTTTCAGTAAGGCTTGGAAATTTCAATGAAGCTTGGCAACGATGATACACGACCGACCAGGGCAAACGCTCAGTGCTGTCTCTCTACGAATGGATAATTCCCTGACTTTCCAGGTTTTTACAGATTCCCTAACTTTTCTAGATCCCTAGAAGAGGAACAATTGCAGGGATCCTGCATAAAGCCTATGATTACAGCAGGACGTTGAGCTAGCGAGATCAAGAATTTATGGGGTGAAAGAATCAAGAAACACTTGCGTACCTGATGATGTTTTCGTATTCTTTATCTGCTCCTTTGGAATCAAACCAGCGGCGGTACATGACTGAGGCATCTACATTTGCAGGACTGTAGGTATTAGGTTCATTTAATAAGGAGATCACAGATAGAAGAATTGTTCTGAAAAGAGTGGAAACAACACTGTTAGAATTTAATTGCAACGGGACCACTATTCAAAACTTTCAACCATTTTCAAACATAAGTATTAGGACTTGCCCCAACGAGCGTAGTTTAGGCGAATGAGTTCCACGACCTGGGGTTTCGCGGAGCAAGTTATAAGTAAGTTATAAGTTCCTGGAACAAGTTTGCCCCAAGTTCTGCTACTCGCACTCGAGTGGACAAGGTTTTATGTTGATGCATAGTCCCGCAATATCTCTTTCCATTCTCAATAGAAATTTCTTGAATGAAAATAATTTCTATTAAAAATTATGATGGATCCCATCAAAAATCACACCATGGAATAGAATGACCACCTTGGGTGAGTATGTGTGGAATGAGTTGAATGACAAGACTAAGACCTAATCATTAGAACCCATAAAAATCTATCATTCTACGATGACAATTGAAATGCAAACTAGTATTGTAAAAAATAAAAAGTTTATGACTATAAGAGGGCCCTGAGAAGGAATTCTGATGAGGGCTAGTTCCCACTGATTGTGAGAAATATTTCAATTAATCCCTGTCTTTTTGCCTTTCGTCATAGAATTGTAGAATTGCCTGCCTTTCATAATGTTTCCTTGCACATAGCAACGCCACTAAGATGCACCACTTCATGGATACAGAAAAATGCCCATAAAGTCATTCAACTTAACCCTCTACAGCATGAATTAATTTTGGATCTTGAAGTCTAGGGGACACAAGTCTATGTTATGTTAAGTCCCAAATTTTTGGTAATAATATTTCTAAAAAAGAAAACGCTGAAGAAAACGTGCAAAATTATGCAACAGAGAAAATATTAATTTGTAAAAATCCAAATATTGCTTCTTTATGAATAAGTACCGCCAGACCGTAAAGGGTTAAGAGATATTGAAAAACCCAGCTCCTGCCTAAGCATGAGGCACGATTGTGCTTACCGGACATTCTGAGTGGGGTTCCACCTTTCGCAGGGCAGTTCACCTGAGTGGGGGTCATCTACTGGTGGGTGTAGAATTGAAATGCATAGATCTCCATTCTGTAAAACACAAGAGAAAATCAGCAGATTAGTAAAATAAATAATACGGATCGTAAAGACGCGCCGCGCTGTCTGGCAGGTTATCACTGTGTCATTCCATACACAACGATGGCTAAAATAAAAAAAAAGCGGATTCCCGGTTGAGATATCGTATACCTCTGCTCATGTCTAATTTTTTGACAGGAAAAACCAATCCTCAACTTTTCTCAAAATTTGTTGAAAAGAGCCTGTCGCGTCGCCAGTTATTGCCAATTTTTTCTGACAGGTAAAACTTTACTTTGGAGGAAAATTAGGAATACATTTCCTTGATTTTTTCATAATTGCCTGTGGATTAAATTGTGCAGAAAATCTAAAAATTTAAAAAAATAAGAGCTTACAAGTTTTAAAAGATTTCGTATTAAATAGAAGGAACTTTGGCAACGGTCGAGTGTTCATTCAGCCTTCTTCCTGGACGTTCCAGTATTGATAACCGAGCGGACGGCGATGATATCATTCATTACGCCTTCTTGATGCAATTATTTGTACAACATGGACATCCGTGTTGCATGCTAGAAATTGAAGGCGCTCTGGTTATTTTAGCATTGTTAGCCCATGAAGCAGTGCTCGTGGCCACACGGGGCGGAGTTCAATCGTCGACATCGGCAGAAGTCGAATTCGAAAAAAGGGCAGACGTCGACTCGAAGCGAACGGGTCGAATGGTTCCGCGAACTGCCGCGAATGTCATGAACATTCGCCGGGGCGAGTTCGGACGAGTTTGTTATTGTTTCTCATTAAACTATAAAACTAACCCCTTTTGAGGACGTAAGTAATCGTAATAGTACATCTACCTATTTAATAGTCAAGAACGTCTAATATTTTTCACTGAATAAATTTTCGCATGTCGTCGGATAAATTATTTTTTTGGCAGTGTGTCTGTTTAGTAGTAATTTCTTGCCTAGCCACTGCTGTTCATTGTCGGAACGGTGGGAAGTTAATCGAAGCTGTTCAATCCGGAAGTGTTTTTGAGTCAGTTTAAATTAATTAATTAATTTCTTTTTCAGTCTGAGCCCTAATTGAGTGGACACTCTACGACTTTCGCGTAGGTAGGTGGAAAAATCCACTTTTTGAGGAAAATGTACCTAGTCTTTCAGCAGTTCATAGATTATCTCCACTCGCTACCACGCCAAAGGAGCATATCATTGCGTCTGATCATTGAAGGTTTCTTGAGAACCAAGTTGATGAAAAATGCAGATGAAACTGTAGCTTTTCTTGTTCTTGAAAAACTTTAATGGCAGATTTTCTTATACAGCGAGGGAAACGTCTCTGCTCCATGGTCATAGTCGCCTTGACTGAAGATTTCTTCGATGGTAAAGTTCCTTATCACCTTTAATACGCTTTAATATCACAGGTCTTTACATCTACCTCATTGTAAGTTGCTTTCAAGCCTCTACTTTGACAACTTTATTCTTGATGTGGAAGCCAACGTTTTGTTACCCACAGGAGTTACTTGGAAATAAATACATTCATGTAGGATACCTAGAATTTACTACCGACACAGTTTCCTTTGCTTCAATCTGCTTTTGCGCAGTTCCTCATACTGTAACGTGACAAGACTGAGTCATAGAAGGGTGCCTCGGCTCCCTACTAAAGAGAGACAGGGTGCTGAAAACACGAACACAAAAAGATAAGAGGATGAAACACTTGAGGCCCAGCCTCAAAGAAGTACAACTGGAACTTCTCACACTAGTCCTAATCGGAACATTTTAATTCAAACATGGAAAAAGTTATGACATAGGTACCTATCGAGCATTCTTTTTGCACATCGCGGTAAGACATGATACTTTCAAAGACGAGAAAAATCAAGTTTATTTTCCATGAAATTAAAAAAAAAATTAGGCATTTTCACCGCGACTTGTTTCTGAAAACACAGAAATGAGACATTGATTTTTACACGCAACTTCATAAGAGTTTTTCACTTTCATTGAAGAAATTTGAAGTTCATTTTATAAATCCTTCCATTTTAAGGGGATGCATAATGAAGGTGACATCACTTAACCACAATCCTATCTGCAGTTGCATCATTTCAGATGTTCTTAAATTTTTTACTATTTTGAAGCATAACGGATCAGTACATGAAGAAAAATTGCATGTAATGCACCGATTCTGAGATGCTATCAATCCATATTCCTTGCACAATGGAAATTTTTCTAGGTTCACCATTGATGTGTATGTCTTATCACATTAAAAGATAAAAATAAATAAAAAAAGCCACTTAGCGCCCCAGCTGGGTCTTATTAGAAAAGATATTAAAAAAACTTAAATTCCCTCCAAGTATCAGAATGGAAAAATCCTGAAGACCTTTCTCTTCAAATCATGGTGCAAAATTAAGAGGAGAACGTTTCTCCAAAGTTCATTTTCAATTAAGTCTATTATTGGACATAGCCTTTCTCTGATGAAGAAAAGGAAGACATTAATGGTGACGCTAGGCTTTTATTGCTCATCAGTCGAGGTCAAATTAAAAATCGAGACCTGTTTACTTAGGTATCTACTTTAAGGGTCAGAAACAAAGCATAAATTTAGTTTAATTTACAACCATTGATGGAATTTCCTGATCCATTGTGGCTCTCGTTCTGCTAAGAGAGCTACTTAAACTTAGAGGTCTTTAGTGTCGTCCACGGCAAAGACAAGCAGCCTATACATAATGCTCCATTTGCAACAAACGATAAAATGAAAAGTAAAATAAAATGCACAATGGTGAACTAGGTTCGATTGGTTCGGTGCGTTCGGGCATCGACGTATGACCGTTCGCGAATCGACCTCTGACCGTTCGCCACGAATCGACCATTGCCGATGTCGACCTTTGCTACTCGTTCGCCACACGCTGTCACGACTTGGTGTGGTGAGGGGATATAATATCCTGATATGTAAAAATGGTGCGAAAATATCCTTTCTTGTGCTCTTGCTCTAGTTTTAAAGAATTCCAGCTCGCCACAAAGGACCCTACAACAAAACGGCCAAATCGGCCTAAACACGGAATCGTACGATTTTCTCAGGGATGATAGGGGGTCTTCCCAGACACTCAAAACTGGTCATATTTTTTGCCTAACCCCCAGGGAAAAGGGGGGATGGGGGGTCAAAGTCAAAACCTTTAAAGTAGCATAACTTCTCAACGGTTTGTCGCAGAAAGATGATCTTGGTGTCAAAATTTCCAGAAAAATGAGAGCTTTCAGAATATATGTATTAAATTAATAAAATTTTAAAATTTGACCCACTTTTGGGACATTTTACAAGGTCCCCCTTTCGTAAATTTTCGTTTTTTGAGATTTTCGGTTGTTCGGTTCGCACGGATTAAAACAAAAACAATTTCAAATGAAAGTAGAGCGTTTAAGCTTTAAAAAAAACCCAAGATGATCTTGGGGAAACGATTAGAAGCGGAGTTATGAGTCTTCAAAGTTGACGCGGCGCGCGGGAACCTTGTATGTTCCGAGTCTCAAGGTCACCTGCGCGCCCCGGATTGCCTGCAGGTTGCAAGTTTTTGTGTTTTTATGCTTCTGTAGGTCATTTTTAATGTAAATCATTCAATAAAGATAGTTTAATCAGAATTTTTTAATTTTACACAATAGGCCTTCGGCTAGGTACACCACATTAACGTCAAAAAATTTTAACTGCGTTTCAAATTGCCCCCTCAAGAATAACTGAGACTTGTTTTGAAGCTCAAAGCTCGTCTGCTTCTACGAGAAACTATTTGGCTTTACCAACGGAGATCCGTCAAGCGCTGTAGCTTATAGCTCAATTAAAAAATTTTAAAATTAGGGGTACCCCAAAATTTGGCATCAATGGGTTATAATTTCTAAATGGTTCAGTTCTGTATGGAGCATATGTATATTTGAACTGAGGGTCCATGGTTTCTTCTAAATTATAAGAGCAGAATCGTCATCGTCAGCTAATGTTTAATGAGGTATGATGGACATAATGGTTGATACTCGAAGCCCCCTCTCGCTCCTCCCGTAAAATTAAAAAAATTCGATTATTCTATCTTCATTGGATGATTTACATTAAAAATGACCTACAGAAGCATAAAAACACAAAAACTTGCAACCTGCAGGCAATCCGGGGCGCGCAGGTGACCTTGAGACTCGGAACATACAAGGTTCCCGCGCGCCGCGTCAACTTTGAAGACTCATAACTCCGCTTCTAATCGTTTCCCCAAGATCATCTTGGGTTTTTTTTAAAGCTTAAACGCTCTACTTTCATTTGAAATTGTTTTTGTTTTAATCCGTGCGAACCGAACAACCGAAAATCTCAAAAAACGAAAATTTACGAAAGGGGGACCTTGTAAAATGCCCCAAAAGTGGGTCAAATTTTAAAATTTTATTAATTTCATACATATATTCTGAAAGCTCTCATTTTTTTGGAAATTTTGACACCAAGATCATCTTTATACGACAAACCGTTGAGAAGTTATGCTACTTTAAAGGTTTTGACTTTGACCCCCCATCCCCCCTTTTCTCTGGGGGTTAGGCAAAAAATATGCCCAGTTTTGAGTGTCTGGGAAGACCCTCTATCATCCCTGAGAAAATCGTACGATTCCGTGTTTAGGCCGATTTGGCCGTTTTGTTGTAGGGTCCTTTGTAATGGCGCGCCACACGCTGCTGCGTGCACTGCTTCATTTGGCAGAGCGATCTGAGCGCCTTCTATTTTGTCATACGCAACACGCGTGTCCATAGGGTGCGAATAATTGTATCAAGGCGATATCATCGACATCGTTGGACGCATTGCTTGTGCTGGCTGAAGTTTTAGGATGAGAAGCCTCGTAGCGTCTTATTCTACCGGAGTGTCATTAGAAACTTTGATATAGAAAATGTGAATATTTTGTGGAGCTTCAGTTAAAAGACAACAGTAGGGTAGGCAATTAGGCATTAAGTTCATGATTTCATTTACGGTTTCCTCTGTTCTCACTCAGCTGAAACTTAATCCCCTGACAATGCTCATCAAACTACGTCAAATTTCATCAAATTGCCGCTAACCTATTAAAGCGCTAAAATCCCTCTCACCCAGCATGCTCTTGATTTTTTTTTACGTAAGCTGTTCACTGCGGCAAGCGCGAGATGAGAGGTTTTTAACGTTTTCGAAAAAAGTCAAAAGCTCTGCCTCGCTGGCATCATGAATACATGACGCGTGTTGCGAGGCTGCGACGAGGATGCCTGAGCAGTGAGAATCTGTCAATTTTTTAACGCACACCTGACAACGACCCAAAAGCCCAGGGGTCTATGACTTGAGCACACCTAAACGGCACAACCAACGAGGAGTTGCTCTCATTTTCCTGCCATACTAATCATAAAATGTTAAATGTCAACGTCTCCATTTTCGCGAAAAATTCCGTTAAACCACCCGAAAAAATGTACCCGTGCTTTGGCAGGATGAAAACCGCAGCATTTGCCATGAAACGAAAGAAACGTGTGAGAGATAGGAGAATTCCGTGAAATATTTCACGAAATGTCACGAGGCTGTGCAATTTTTGAAAAACTGACTGCTTTCAAGTCCTATTAGTGTAGCGGATGGAGGAGGAGCGTTCAAATCAGAAACGGGATATGCAACCCACACTAAAGAAATCGGACAACGCAAAAAATCCTGAATTTTCCTAATCTAGACCTAGACTTTAGACGAGTAAAATAATGCTCCTGAATAATTTTGGCAACTAAAATTCTCGCTTCAAAATCACGACCAATGTAAACCTTTCACCAGAGACTTGTTTCATCGTAAGACCACAACTATTTGGGCCGAATATAATAGATACTAACCAAGTGGCATTTGAGTTAGGGGTGGCTTTAAATCCAACTAGCCGTGAATTTCGTCCAGTTCAAAATTTAGGGACGAGAAAATATATTTTGAACACGACATTGTCGCTGAAGTTGGTCCCTGGAATCGAGTGTTAAGGAGGGATACAATGTCAAACCTTTTTCCCGGTTCGGTGCGGGACTGCGGGCTGATTATTGAAACTGGACGTATTTCTAACAAACAGAACATGTGCATTAAGACATAAGCCCTGAGACCCATAAGAATATGTGCATAAGAAGGCTCACGTCATAATGCACATCGTTCCGTTTGATAAAAATACGACAAATTTGACTTTTCCGTCGATGGATTTCAACGATGAGCTCGGAGGCTACGATCCATCTCCTATCTATTGGTCTATTGACCCAGATCCCAGATAGTCGTGGCGTGTACATTGAACGAATAAGTTGGAGGCGCGCTCCCTCGGATCGGTGATTCTACAGCGTTTTCTCTTCAGCTCCACGCTCGTGGTTTTCTTTTGGAAAAACAGGCGGGCGGTGACCCGGTGTCCGTCATCGGTGAGTCACCGATTATTCACTCTCAGATGAGCGCCCATCAACACGTGACGCCGCGTCCAGCGTGGTCAGTCACCTGATTTATTTTCGAGCCCGAGCTAATATCGGGGATGGGGGATGGGGGGGGGCAAGGGGGGAAGAGGAGGGGGGCGACCCGTTAAGCTCCCGAGAAAACCCGACTCTGAGCTCCCTTCCAAGGTCGTCCTCGTCTCCTCATCGGCCTCATGGCTCTTTGTGATCATCCAATAGCGGGATGTTCCAGCTCAGCTTCCCACCCACGCTTTCATTTTCTCGTCAAAATCCACCACGAGGCAGAATTGTAATTAAACAGGCATGGCTCACTTGAGCCCCAGTTAAATGGACAAACCTCCTACTCGTGGTTTTTCTTCGGAATCTTACAGAGGAATGTAAATCCTTCAATTTAAGCCCGGAAAAATTCAGTTCGACCCACGAGGACGCATGTTCATTGATTTTGGGCGCATTTGCAGTCCGTAAAGTTCATTCTTTTTCGAATGGGAGGACAGGGGGCAAAAGAGAGGGCAAAGGGGTGAAAAACCTTCATCTCAACTCCCTTGACCCTCCAATTTCAAAAAACACAACATACTTCCATGATAATGAGATGTCTGCCTCTCAATGAGCGATATTCAGCCAATTTGTGGCTAAAATTATGCAAGTAGACTCCATTTTCGAGCAAGAAGTTTTTCGTTAGGGACTTAAATTGAAGTATTGACGTCCTCCTTCCAAATTTTGAAGAAAAATCACGAGTCGCGGGTTAACCCCTTTAATTTCGGTTCAAACGAATCAGGCAGGATTTCCATAATTGGTGGTGTGGCGAGCTTTGCAATGGATCGGTTGATTTGCCGTTTACACTTACATATATCGATCGATTTATCAGGGTATGCCTTCATTATTACCGTAGGCTTTTTGAGTATTAGTGTGTTAAAGTCGGCTCCGTCTATCGAAGTCATTTTTAACCCTTACACATGCCATTAAAAATACTTTCTCGTTTTGCGCTGAACTCGAGGATAGATTCTTTTATTCTTACTTCAACAGCAGGAAAGAATACGGCCTTCCAATCAAGGCCAAGTAGACCCTCTGGTAATCGAGAAGAAAATAAAAAAAATATCTTGACTTACGACACGATAGATAGTGCGAAAGAAGTGAGGAAGTTGATGGGATACTCACCTGAAACAAACAAAAAAGTAAAACTTATTAAATTTTGCTGCTGATGCGTGAGCCAAGTTCGAGATAATTACATCGATGATTCATCGAATGCATCGATTCACATAAAATCTGATACAACGGCCTGAGCCATAAATATGCGAGCTGCCGTGACAGCGAAGAGAGCATAGTAAGTGTCAAATTTTCAAAATCGAGTTTCCTTCAAAATTCGTCTGATCTTTTTCACATGAAATCACTAAAATAGCTAAAAGAGCAAAATTCATCTTAATTATATCAAAACGAGACATGTGAGAAAGCCCTTGGTG